AACTGGTGTTTTATATGGTATTTAATTCAAAATGGGATGACTGCGTTATCTGTTAAAGTTCAGTATCATTTCAAGAATAAAGAACAACTAGCCAGGCCCTCTGGCACACACATACAACCCCTGGCACTCAGGAGGCTGAGGCAGGTAGATCACAAGTGTAWTGTGGACTGGGCAACTTGCTAATACCCTCTCTCAAAACAAAAAATAAAAAGACTGGGGATTTAGCTCAATGATAGAGCACCCTGGGTTCAATCCCCAGTACCACACATACACAAAAAAGTAAAGGTAACATGTACATACCACAGCCTGCTGATTTGCCTGCATTTATTTGACTACATTATTTTCCTGTTAGTCTCTTTGAAATTATTAAGTTGAACCATAAGAAATTGACAATTTTGGGTAGGTGTATATGGTGGCACATGCCTGTAGTCCCAGCTACTCAAGAAGCTGAGGCAGGAGGATCATAGGTTTAAGGTCAGCCTCAGCAATTTAGCGAGACACTTGTCTCCAAATTAAAAGGGTTGAGGATGTAGATTAGTGGTAGAGGAACCCTAGGTTCAATTCTTAGTACCCACCCTCCACACACACCCATACAAATTGCCTTTTTTTTTTTTTAAGCTCAAAACCAGTTAACTGTTGAAAGTGTGATGGTTTAGTCTAATAGTTTGAAGGATAATCTGACACTTCATTTCTGTGATTCACTCTATCATTTTTATTATTTCCATCAAATATTAGTAGAATTCCTTTTCTAGATAGTCTTGACTCTTCTAGTCTTTATCCCTCTGCTCATCACTGATTATTAGTTTTGCTGTTCAAGATGAATTTATTGGAAAAACTGCTTTTCCTTTGTCCTGCATCTCCTTTACCCATTCACCCTCAGCACATGCATTTGCCCATAAATGCTAGTTACAAAGTAAATTATGGATATTATTACCCAGTAAAGYATTAAGCTTTAAAATTTGAAACATGGATAATTTCTTTGTGTGGTATGGGGGAARAAGCATTGGACTAGAGTCAAAAGACCTAAATCTCAGGGCTGGGATTGTGGCTCAGTGGTAGAGCACTTGCCTGGCCACCGGTGAAGTACTGGGTTTGATCCTCAGCACCACATAAAAATAAAACAAAGGTATTGTGTCCATCTACAACTAAAAATAAATAAATAAATAAAAAACTTGATCTGCCATTTGATGAATAAAAAGCCTTGGAGAAAGTAATTTGACATCTGAGCCTGTTTCTTCATTTATAAARTATAAATAGTACATTCTTTTGCCACCTACCTAAGCAGTTAGGATCAAATGAAACTGAACTGTTAACTAGTAATTACAGCAATTCTTATGTTCCTTATTTGGAATAACTAGAATAGGAGATAGTTCTTTTTACTGTGTACTTTATAGCTTCCAAAATGAAGGTTGATAATCTCAACTCTGATTTCCATCAACACATAAGTGAATAAGTAAAATTGTGGTATACCTTACCATGAAATACTACTCAGCAGCATAAGGATTTAGAGGTTGGAGATTTTAAGTACCTGTTCTCAGTATTTTTAGGTTTGTATATGAATATTATATTAAAAATGTTTTCTTATGAGAGAATAGATGACAATGGATGAGATTCCTATCTCCTTCTGTTTAAATCTTCTTTAGATTAATAAAGCAATCAGCGAAAAAGTCAAGGTCTAAATCTTTTTTTRGGGGGGGSCAGGGATTGGTGGCGGGGATCAGGGATTGAACTTTGGGCACTCGGCCACTGAGCCATATCCCCAGCCTTATTTTGTATTTTATTTAGAGACAGGGTCTCACTGAGTTGCTTAGCACCTCTCTGTTGCCAAGGCCGGCTTTGAACTTGAGATTGTCCTGTCTCACCCTCCCAAGCCGTTGGGATTACAGGCGTGAGCCACCACGCCTGGCCTAAATCTCTCTAACAATTATTTTCTTGATAATTTGTCTTCATTTTTGTGGAATGAAAAAAAAATCTTAATTGAGGTTAGTCTATTTGTAATAAGAAAAATGTACTAGATACAGGGGAAAAAAATCAAATGTATATTCATGTGTGTCACTCAATTCATATTATTCACATATGATAATAAAACTCACCAATTTTAAGTAACTGCACAGTTTTGACAAATATATACATTCTTGTAACCATGCCACAGCTAAGGTATAAAATATCCTACTTTTAAGGATACTTTTTTTTAGCCATCTGTACATCATTATCCTCAGAAGTCCCCCGTGCCCCTTTGCTGTCGGTCCCCTTCCCATTCCCTGGCAAACAGTAATCTGTTTTTCTGCCACTGTGATCGTGACTTTTTAAGAATTTCATATAAATGGATTTGTATATGACATTGTCTTTTATGTCTGGTTATTTCACTTCACGTGTTTTTGAGATCCGTCAGCATTATTGTGTGTATCAATTGTCCTTATTTATTTATTTATTTATTTATTTATTTTCTCTCATCGTGTTTCCTGTACCATTTTGAACATACAGAGCATAATTGTAATAACATTTTAACATCCTGCTAATACTGTCATTTCTGATCTTTTCTGTTGACATAAGGTCACATTTCCTGTTTCTTTGAATGCCTGCAATTTTATTTTGTTGTGCTAGGAGAGTGTTCTACCACTGAGCCACAATCTCAGCCCCTGCAATCAATTTTCTTTTATGTGTTGGACATAGTAAATTTTATACTGTTGTGTGCTGTATTTTATTGTATTCCTTTAGGTAATTTTGGACTTTTTTTCTTGGATCCTTTCAAGACTTGCTTTTAAGTATTGTTAGAGTGGGTCAAGACCAATTTTTAGTCCAGGGCTAATTTAGTTCCATTTCTAAGGTGATGCTCTTCTGAGGACCCTGTTATATGTGTTGTAAGATTCTCCCATTTTGAAGGGTATAAATAAAAAAAAAATAAAAAAGCTCTGTGTGAGTGCTGTTTTCTGGTGGCCCTTTCTTTCCCCATCATCTGATAGTTTCTCTCTCTCTCTCTCTCTCTCTCTCTCTCTCTCTCTTTAATATTTTGTTTAGTTGTAGATGGACACCTTTGTTTATTTATTTTTATGTGGTGCTGCAGGTTGAACCCAATGCCTCTCATGTGCTAGGCAAGCGCTCTACCACTGAGCTATAATGCCAGCCCTGATAGTTTTCTTCTTGTGTATGCCTATCAATCAGTACCCTTCCCAGGACTCAAGGAGTCTGCCCCCTGGTAGATCCCCATGTGCACTCTGCACATTCCTCCTCCWGTACACCCAAGATAGTCTAGCCACCTTGGCCTCCCCAATTCTAGTCACAACTGACAACTCTCCACTCCAAACCCAACTGTCCTCAATGACAAAACTGGGTTCCCCTTCTCTGTGCATCAATCTAGTACCTGCCTCCAGGAAGCACAGAGCAACCTGAAGGTTTAGCTTGGTTTCCCTTCTCCCGGGCAGCATAGTCCTGCACTCCCTGTGTTGAGTGTCTAAAAACCACTGTGCTGTATTTTTTGTCCAATCTTCTGCTGTTTACAATAGGTGAATTTGATCCCTAGGATGCTGTAATGACAGGAAGTGGGAGTCTCCTATGAAAGTAGAGTAAAGCATGTATTGATAGTGCCTCAGAGAAAATAGGGTACTTGGATCATCAGTTGTCAACTTACTTAAATCTGACACACTTTAGTGTCTGCTCTTTKTAAGACATAGGACCTAACCTAAGTGTTGTTCCTTGGTGTTCATGGTAACTAGTCTAATCAAAGGTTGACTGTTTTTCTCTGATGAACTTGTACATAAGGAATATTAATTCTGGGTTATTTTTGGCCAACTTATCTAGCATAGCTTTGCATGAATGATGAATATGTTAATATTCTCTCTCTCTCTTTTTTTTTGTTTTTTTTTTTGGTGATGGGGAACCCATGGCCTTATACATGCTGTGCAAATGCTCCACCACTGTGCCGCATCCCCAGCTCCATCAGTATCCTACTTCTTTTTTTTTAATATTTTATTAGTTATTAATGGACCTTTATTTACTTATTTGTTTATATGTGGTGCTGAGAATTGAACCCAGTGCCTCATGCATTCAAGGCAAGCGCTCTACCACTGAGCTACAACCCCAGCCCCATCAGTATCCTACTTCTAAGGACACTTTGTTTTAACCATCTGTACATTTGATTGCTTGATTATGCTTCGATATATGTGAGAAAATTACTGCAAACTTTTTTTATTCACAATTATTTATGGTTGAAAAGACCATTAAACATTTTTTAAMCCTTTGCAAACTAATTTTTTTGATTTATTAAAAACAGGACAATTATTTGAACATCTGTTCATAGATGGGCCAACCATAGTGTCAACACTTGGCCAGATATTTAGTCAGTTAAAGAATTATTAAAGAAATGCGTTTTGATCTATTTGTATTTTAGGAAGATGAGTAAAATCAGATTTAAAATATGATTTTACTTTATGACATATAGACTGTTGCTGTCTGATTAGAGTTTTTAAACAATGTGAAATGAAATGGTTAAGAGAAAAATTTGAGGTCTAAGTGACTTTACCTGTGGACTTATGTGTAAAATGATTTAAACATAATTAGTTGGAATGAGTATTGAAATTGGAAGTTCTAGATTCTAGTGTCAGCTGTGCCTTTTACTGCTACTGGGTGATGTGGGCAAGTTACCTGAGACTCTTGTAACTTCTAAAATGAAGATAATAAATATCCTACTTACTGTCAAAGATATGTGGAGTGCTGAATTGCAGAAATTCTTTGGGGATGCTAACATGTCATGGAAACTTTTGACATTAAACTTTATTTTTCCATGTTATGTAAAAACTACTATCAACAGCAAGAATGATAGATTGCAAAGTGAGGCATATTTATTACATTTCACATAGTTTATCATGCAAAAAAATGATGTTGAAATGGAAGAAAGAAGCATAGGCCTATTTAGATAGAATGGCGATAGGAAGAGACTGCTGTCTTTTTTTCCTACTCCTTTTTCTTAGCATCATTTTGTTTTCTCTCCCACAATTTTCCAGGCAAAGAATGTGTGCAGCAGTTAGCCGAGAACACTAGGTATTTCAGGAGACGACTGAAGGAGATGGGCTTCATCATCTATGGAAATGAAGATTCTCCAGTGGTGCCTTTGATGCTCTACATGCCAGCCAAAATTGGGTATGTTTTATTGCAGGTCACTCAGCGGTCCTTCATTAGACCTAAGGCACCTGTGATAAAAGACTAGGGCTTATAGTTAGAAAAATTATCTTTTCTCCACTGTGTCCATTTGTTAGTTAGGCCATAGTTGACATAGTGGATCTAAATTGCAAGATGTGTAAACTTATTATCATTTCATTAAACAAATATCCAAGTTTAATGCTGTCTTCCAGGTGCTTAGGATGGATGTGTGAACAAAACACAAAACATCTCTGTCCTTGTGGAGCTTACGTTCTAGTGGGGCAACAGTCAGACAAATGTAGTAATTAGAAGATATTACACTATGTGTGCTCAAAGGTATTACGTGTATCGAAAAAAGAATAATGCAGGCTACATATGGGGATTGAGAGGACCTGTAGGTGTGCAGAAATAGAATTAAATAGGGGACAGGTAAAGCCTCCGTGGGAAGGAAAGATGAAATCTGAGCAAAGAGGAACAGTCTGTACAGAGGCCACATGCAGGGACATGCTTAGTCGGTTGAAGAATAGCCAAGTGGTCACTGGAGCTGGAGGACAGTGCCCAAGGGGGAGCAGTGGGCCATGAGGTCAGAAAGGTCGAGTGGAGCATGTTATTGGATATTTACCAGGTGTGCTGATTACCCCAGCTGCTTTGGTTTGTGTGAGATGTACATAATGGAAGCCCTCACTCAACCTGGGACAGCTTTCTTTGTATTTGAGAAGTCCAGATGTATAATGAAATTAGAAGACATTTGAAAAGCAAATGAACAATAATTACATTGAATAATTATATCGAACAGTTGTATGCAAAATTACACTGGAGCTGTAGAATAAAGGAGTGATCTGCTTAGTATAGATTCCATAAAAAAGGTACCTTGTTTTGATGTGTTTTTCTTTTTGATGGGGGATTGTTTTTTGTTTGTTTTAATTATTTTTTCTTTTTTAGTTGTAGATGGACATAATAGCTTTTATTTTATTTATTTTTATGTGATGCCAGGAATCAAACCCAGTGCCTCACGAATGCTAGGCAAACACTCTACCACTGAGCCACAACCCCSGGTCGGAGAGTGGGGTTGTTTTTTGAGGCAGGGTTTTGCTGTGTTGTCCAGGTTGGTCTTGAACTCCTGGTCTCAAGTAATCCTCCTACCTCAGCCTCCCAAGCACTGAAGGTATATCTTTTTGAATGGGTGAGTTTTGATCCAGATTTTTAGTATAAAATTAGAATAAGGATCATTTCTCCCATTTGCTTAAATTCATTAAGGGAGCAAATATTTATATTTATCTTTGAATCCCCAGTATCCACCTCAGTCTCCAACACTCAGAAGGCACTCAGTAAAAGTTTATWGAAGTGAATATAAGAGAGAAAAATTAATTGGGGAGCCTAGAAGAATGATGATCCCAAAGACTATGAGAGAGAAGTTGGGAAGAGATGCTTACTAAGGGGAAAAAAAAGAGTGCAGATTTCARTACAGAATTAGAGGGAGTTAGCATTATGTCCTACAAAGAGARTGTTGGGGAATCTTCTCCCAGTGGAATTATCACAGGTATACTTGAGCTATCAGATCTGAAGGACTCAATCTAGAACGCTTTGTTTAGAGAGGACTGTGCCTCATCTGTCTATACAGGTGAAACTGAAGAGGGTGGAGGAGAACTGAGGTGATGTGCTGGACAGTTAGGGAGCATGATCAACATATACGGGGAGCTCGGGCTCATCTGACCTGGGAGCATGGAGAAAGCTGTGCAGGTGTTAGAGAGTAGGAAAAGACTGGCACTGATGTATTGCCATTGTATGTGCAGGATATTTTTCTCAAACAAGTATTGTGAAGAAATTAATGGAAAAGTAAAATAGAAATAAGGTAGGTCAATGWGGGAAAAATAGAACAGCATAATTTAATAAGCAAAATTAAGTGAAAATTAGGATATGTTATTTAGTCAAGATTCAGATGTAGAGTAAGGCCATAGGACAGCTGACTTGGAGTGAGAGGTAGTGTGAGCAATTAGCCAAAGCCACTGGCCAGCTAGCTACCTGACAGAAACTAGAGGCCGCTTGCCGATTGGTCACTCTGCCAGCAGATCTGTGTCATGTTATAGCCAGTTCTCTCTATCTCCATAACCTTAAGACTATTGAAACTGCCAAGCTTAACATTTTTTTATTTGTTTTAATTAGTTATACATAGTACCAGAATGCTACTTTCCATTTCTTTTAAGACTGTAATTAAAATCTCTTTAGGCAAACCCTATTAGAACTGGTCTCTGCCAATTATATTCTTTTACCTTGTGAAGGAAATCATACAGAAGACCACCACCTTAGGATTGARTAAACGAGTTGTAAATTGTCAGTTTTAACTTTAGAAGAAGTTAGAGGAAGTGATGTCTACGTCACTAGAGTTTAAATCATTCCAGACAGCAAGACCCTTGCTTTATACTGTTCTTCATTTCTTTTCCTCATTTTCCCCTTTGTAGCGCCTTTGGACGAGAGATGCTAAAGCGAAACATTGGTGTAGTTGTGGTAGGATTTCCTGCTACCCCAATTATTGAGTCCAGAGCCAGATTTTGCCTGTCAGCAGCTCATACCAAAGAAATACTTGATACGGTAAGTGGACACTTTCATCTTGGTATAAACATGCCTTATACTAAAAGAACCCATGTATCACATACATGACACCAATTATTTGTTGATCCGAATGTTCTCTGAGTACCTAAGACAGCAGTGGTGCCCAATGCTACTTAAAACTGCCATTTACAAAAGAACTACCAAGTGTGTAGCATCACACCAGACCCAGTGTCAACCAAACTCTGGAGAATTTTCCAGATTCATCATACCATTCTGTCTCTATGGACTCCACAGTTGTGCAGTTCCCTTTCCATCCTGTCTCTGTTCCAAGCTTTCTGGTTGTTGTCATGTATGTAGAATTTTCTATCTTAAGCTTTTTCTCCTCCTTGATTGGCTGAGTGCAACTCATTCTGTATATTTCCACTTAAAGGAAACTTGCTCAGGTCTTTTCCTCTTGATAAATAAGACTTTTATTTTTGTGTTGCTGGGGATCAAACCCAGGGCCTCATGCAAGATGGGCGAGGCAAATCCCCTACCACTGAGCTAGATTCCAGCCTTCCCATACATAAATCCGAAAGTGCATGCAAGGCAAGCACTCTACTGAACTATATCCTCAGGCCTTATTTATTTATTTTTATGTGATGCTGAGGATTGAATCCAGGACTTCATGTGCTAGGCAAGCGCTCTATCATTGAGTTACAATCCCAGCCCTCAGTCCTTAAATTRTACAGTTTTGTTTTCTGAACTGAGGGTATAGCTTAGTGGTAGAACACATGCTTAAYATGCACAAGCCCTGGCTTCTATCCCCACCCCCCACCCCCCTGCCACCAAAAAGGTATGCTTTGTGGAAGTTCATAAAACTTTAGAATGTGACATCTGCAAAAAAAAATATAGAAATATATATATATAATTGTTGGAAATATTAATTCGGGGCTGGGGTTGTAGCTCAGAGGTAGAGCACTTGCCTAGCATGCATGAGGCACTGGGTTTGATCCTCAGCATCACGTAAAAATAAAAAAATAAAGGTATTGTGTCCATCCACCACTAAAAAATAAAAGTTAAAAAAAAGAAATATTTATTAATTGGTTTGAGATCTGATAATAATCCCAAAGAGTTTTTATATTTTTTTTTGTAAGGGCGCGGGCATTACCAGGATTGAACTCAGAGGCACTCAACTACTGAGCCTCATTCCCAGCCATATTTTGTATTTTATATAGAGATAGTGTCTCACTGAGTTGCTTAGTGCCTCGCTCTTGCTGAGGCTGGCTCTGAACTTAATCCTCCTGCCTCAGCCTCCAGAGCTGCTGGGATTACAGGCATGCGCCATCATGCCCGGCAAGAGTTTTTATACTTTTAGAAGTTTATTATAATAATTTGATTGACATTTTGTATTTCTAAACAGAAGACTTTTTACTTCCTATTTCTACACAGCAGAATTTCTACAATTAAGAGTTTATTCTGCCAGGTACGGTGGCTCACACCTGTAATCCCAGCACCTCAGGAGGCTGAGACAGGAAGATAGCAAGTTCAAAGCCAGTCTCAACATCTTAGCAAAGCTCTAAATAATTCAGGGAGACCTTGTCTCTAAATAGAATATTAAAAAAAAAAAAAAAAAGAATTGGACTGGGATGTGGCTCAGTGGTTGAGGGCCACTGAGGCCCCCTCCCCCCCAAAAAAAGAATTTATTCTACTGGGTGTAGTGGTCCATGCCTGTAATTCCAATGACTTGGGAGGCTGAGGTAGGAGGATTGCTTGGGCCTAGCTGGGGCAACATACTGAGAGACCTTGTCTCAGAAGGAATCTTATAATCTAGATCTACTTGGACTACTGTGGGTTTGTTTGGATGGTTTCTGTTCCTGATCTTTTTCTTTTTTACATTAAGGAAGAAAAATTCTTCTGAAGTCAGAGTTTATAAATACCCTTTTCCCTTGTGCTATTAGTAAATCCTATGAATTTTTGTTTTAAATTAATAAATCCTATGTCAGAGGTCAAGGGTTCAGTGGTTAATGGTTTCTCCCAAYTGAAATTTAAGCTTAAATTGCTTCCCTGTGAGTTTCAATTAAATCTCTTCTCAGAGGTACCACTGTCCTGATAACATATTGAAGCCCAGCTCTTATTTGCTTTTTATATTTTTCACATTTTTTTCTTCTGCTGARATACATAAGGAATGTTATTGATGTCCTTTTTCTCTCTCAAAATACTGATTTTTAAAAATTAAGTTTGAGAACAGATKAATGTGTCTTCTTACTAATAATCAGCTCTGAAATATAAGGTATACATTGTCATACAAAATTGTAGCAACAAGATTAAGCAGGTTTACGCAGTGTCACAGAATTTGGGAAGTCACAGTCAGCCAGTGTATTTCCTTTCCTACCGAGCATATCCTAGCCGTTACATGTATACACATATAACCTTTATCCTGCATACCAGCTATTCACAAGTCATATTTCTGGTCAGCCTGAGGCCTTGTTCAAAAGCAGCTCTTCCCATAGCTGTGTGTGGTCTGGTTTGAGTGAATGCACTGGACACACCAACCTTACCATCATTGTTTTGGGCCCAGTAAACCATCAAGCATGCCTGCGTCCTGCTGTCCCTGACTGACGTCTGCCTCATCTGCTGTGTCTTAGGCTTTAAAGGAGATAGATGAAGTTGGGGACCTGCTGCAGCTGAAGTATTCCCGCCACCGGCTGGTGCCTCTACTGGACAGGCCCTTTGATGAGACCACATATGAGGAGACAGAAGACTGAGCCTTTGTGGTGCTCCCTAGAAGAACTCTCTCACCAAGGACAGTGTGGCCTTTCTGAGCCAGTTCCAGGAACCACACTTCTGTGGCCATGTCATGTGAAAGACATTTCCTCAACTACTGAAGGTGGCCACCTCCGCTCTAAGTGGCATTTTGTAAATAGTAAAAACAAAAAACTGCTTCACATCCTTTCTTTGCTAAAAACCACCTTAAAAAAAAGTGATTCACTTTGTCCATTAAAAACATGTTTTATTTTATAGCTCTTCTACTTGTGAAGTCATGCTGGCTCTTGCCTGTCTGGCTAACCACCCAGGCTTTGCCCTCTCTAGCACTTTGCAGGCTTGGGTCCAGCAAGGCTTGCTGCTGGCCCTGGCTCTCCAGCCAAGAGACTCCCCCGGCCCTCCTCCCCCTGGGAGCAAGTGCCTTCCACATTTTCCCCTCCAGGTCTTTGAGGCTGCCCACCTTGAAATCCTTATTTAACTGGTCAAGTAATCAACCAAAGTCATAACTTTATTCATAAGTTTAGCCTTTTAAGTAAAACAGTAAACGATGATAGTGCCAACTATGTAACTGGTGGGGGGCTCCCAAGACCTTGATCTTATTCCATTTTTTGTTCTGGTTACCAGTCTGAGGGTGTGTCCAAATTCTAAGTGCTTTTTCGTGCTTTCAAACTCTAACCCTGATATCTCCCACCTCTTACTGAAAACACACATCATTTTGGAGGCCCAATCCCTGCCTAGTCAGGCCTGTCTGATGAAGGTGACGCACTCCTCCTCACTGATCACCATGTTGTGAATGAGGCTGCTCCKTGGTGAGGGCTCTGCTGGCAGGTGGTGTGGCAAGAGTTGGTACCTGCAGGATGGTTGTGGTTGGGTTTCTGCCTCCTTTCTACTTTTCAAAATCATGACAGCCTCTGACTGGACCTGGGACCAGATTAGGATTTAAACTGATAGAGGAAAATGTTGGTCAATCCTTGCTCAGAAATCATTTATCATGTTTCTATTTCAGGATTAAAGTTATTAATTTAACCCTTTTAGAAGCTGACCCACTTAAAATTACTCTTTTGAATTCTAGTTCTTTTATCCTTGATGTCCTCAAACAATTTTAACCTGGCTTATGGAGCTAGATTTTCCCTGTGCTTCCATTGTATAGAATTTTCTTTTTTCTGAGAAATTCTAATAGGAAATCAGATCTATTATATTTCTGAGAAATTCTAATAGGAATCTGATCTATTTCCTAAACTGGAATATCCCTTATTTTGACTGTTTTCATACTGTAACCAGGTAAGGGAACTTCTTTCAGAAAGCTTTATACTGCTTGACCAAAGAACAAACCTGAGAATCACCATTTTAAAGTTTTTAATTTTTCTTCAACCAAAGCTCAAGTGAAGAGAACGTTTGGCTTTATTGTACCCAARATCAGTTTGTCTTTTAGTAGCCATCAAGTATTATAGGGGAAGGATTGGGAACAGAATGAAAAAACAGTGGATGAAAGTTGTTTTGCAGATCTGATTTTGAAATTGCTCCTTTTATTAGTAAAGATTCCCAGTCCACATCCTGTGTCTCCCCATCAGCTGTGGCATGTTGTGCAGATGCACGTGGTGGAAGATATCAGCAACATCGTTGTTTGTGCAGTTTTGTTTTCATGTCCCAAGTGTAAGTTATCTTTGGTCATTCAGCGTCTGAGAGCTTTAAGCCCTTGAGATATTCCAAAGTTTTATATCACTTTTTTTAGAAAACAGACAAGGGTGAATAAAAGACTAAGGAGAGATGCAGGGAATATATTTAGCATGTCCAAGTTAAAGTAAAAGAAAGACTACGGTGACTAAAATAACTAGCCTGTAAAATTAAGTACATTGCTAACCTTTGCTGCGCATCTAATTCCCCACTGTAGAATTGGTCTGCAATACCAGATAGCTTTTGCACTGCAGTTACTAATTAAAGATGTAGGTGTRGGGTTTGCAGAAGTCACAAACTTTAATCAATGAACTTATCTGCTAGTCTTTCTTTTTATTTTTTCTTGCACAAAGTTACTGCAAATTAAAATGTCAGTATGGGCATTTAAAATGATAAACACACATGTCACTTTGTTGATGAAAAGTTGTTTCAGGATAAATGTAATTAAGAGTTTATTTTGAAGAGACAAAATTCCTGTGATCTATGCAGGATCTTTGTACTTTGTAGAGGACAAAATGTTATATGTATATTGCATGTGGCTGATTGTCTCTACTTAATTGTAATATAAATTTGGGGGGTCCAGTTATRTCCTACAAATCATTAATTATCCAACTTCTTGG